GGTTTCCCTACCTGTGCTGTTGGCCCTGAAGACCTGGATGAACATGTTCTGTGGAGCATCTGGAACAGGAAGCAGTCACTGATTGAGGGTGGGTGGCCAGGAGCAGCTTGTGGGACTGGTGGCTGTCATCTGACCCCAGTTGTACCTCCAAGACAGGGTCTGGATCCCAGGTCTGGCCTCGCCATGGCCCCCATCCCTCTCCTCCCTGGGCCCAACATGACCTGGCCCAGCACTCACAGGACACATTCAGCTGCACGGTCCTGGGCACTGTCACACTGGCTCTAGGGAAGGTCACTTGGCAGGTGAGGTGGGTGCCGTGGTCACTTACCTGTGGGCTGAGAGTGAGCACTGAAGAGCGGGGTGTCTGGAGGCCCCAGGAAAGAAGTGAGGTTCACCCTGATCCAGGAGAAGGTGGGGGGCACCCCCTGCTCACAAGGCCATTGCACCACACAGGTGATGTTCCCAGGGTGACCAGACTCCAGGGTCCCCACGATGTGGATGTCAGGGGTCTCTGTTAGAGGTGGGGGAGACAGAGAACCACCTAGGCCTGGAGGGGACCCCACAGGTGGCTCTCAGAGCTGCTTCTGCCCCAGGCCAGCCATTGTCCCCAAGCAGGCCCAGTGCCCCATCCCTTGGTCCCCTAGAGTGAGAAGCACTGGATCCCATCCCCACCCAGCCCTGGGTCCCTCAGGCCGCACCTACGTGGCCTTCTGAGCCTCATTCCTTATCTGTCACAAATACACAGAGCTGGTTCTTCAGGTAATTATACTGCACATATGTCCCTCTCTCCACCCTAAAGAAGTAGACTCCTGTGTCACTTCTCTGTGCATCTCTGATGCGCAGGGAGCAGTTGTCGGCCTTGGGGTCTCCAAGGAGCTGGAATCGTTCCCTTGTGTCTGTCCACACATCACGACGTGGGTCATTTGTGGCCACTGCAGGATCCTGGTAAATATTAACTCCTTTCTTGAACCAGTAGCCCCAGGCTGGGGTAGATCTATTCCAGTTTGTCCCGGGATAGAAGATACTGCAGGGGATGAAGGTGCTCTGTCCCTCCTGCACCACCACCGACTCCGGCACTCTCAGTTGGAATCCCAGAAGATCAGCCAGGGATCCTGCAGGGAAAACAGGTATCAGCTTGTCCCAGCCCGATGGCCCTTTCCCCTGTGCCCACTCTCCTGTCCACAGCAGGGACAGCAGCAGAGGTGTCAGCATCTCAGAGCAGGAGACTCCAGGCTCTTGGGAGGGTGTGGAGAAGGATGTATGTGAAGTGGAAGTGATTTGTGACTCATAAAAGTTGGGGAGTAGCACAAGACCAGAGTGGTACACCAAGGAGGAGCTCAGATGTACTTGTGTTGGGCTTGAGTCCCTGTGTCACAGAGGACCGAAACCCCAGACCCCGGCTTGGGGAAAGCAGACAAGAAGCAGAGACCACGTCATGCCCGGAAGGCCAGCATTTCGGTCTTAGTTCCTTTTCTGTCATTGCTGAGACAAAAATACCCAATGCCCAGTGTTAAGGAAGGAAAAGTTCATGTGGCCCACAGATCGCAGGGGGTTCAGTCCTTAATGGGCTGGCTCCAAAGTAGGCTGACATCACGGAGGAGAACAGTTCATGGCAGGGGGAAGATAGCAGTGCAACAGGGGACCTTAACAGCGTCTTTCTCCCTCTTCACATTATCCAGGCTACGTGGAGTGGGTAGCACTCATACCCTTACTGTTAGTGTCCTAGAGCCTAGCATTGCACCACGAATCCATCCCAGGGTCACACACTCTAGCCGCCCTCGAGGTAGCCCCGTCTGTGACGGCTTTGGAAGGACACCTAGACACAGCCACAGCAACGTCCTTCAGAATCTAAGCCTGGCCCAGCATCTTGGAGACATCATGGGCAGGTGGCACAGGTGACAATCTAAGTTGTTCTCTGTCTGAGGTGTTTTCTGATCAATTATTTTTTCCAACAGGAGCTGGGCACCTCCTGGCTGGTGGAGGAGGTTTGTGGGGTGGTGGGTTCTGCAGGACACAGGGCTTAGCAGAGTCTGCGTGAGCAAGAGTGAGGGGAGGTCCTGGGTGAAGAGAGGGCAGTACCTGCTCACTGGCTTCACTCACTCAGTGTCTCAGTTACTCCTCTCTTTGCTGGGACAAATACCTGACGCTCAAAATGAGGGAAGGAAAGGTTTAGTTAGCTCACAGTTACTGGAAGTTTCATAGTTTAAAGCAGCCTGAGTTACATAGCAAGACCTCAGAGCCTTATTTGCTCCGGACAGAGGGTCAGTGACTCTGTCTTCTCCAAACATCTCCTCTCTGCCTGGGGTGGCCTCAGTCACAGACACTGCTGCCCCATGCTACAGGGTCTAGAGGAGAGGCTGGGCACCACCATGTCCAGGATGTCCAGCTCCACACCTACTAGAGCGGCCACTGGCCTGGGGGGATGTGCGTGCTGCCAGTTTAATGGTTCATGCCTTTCTGGCCCACACCTCGAGCCACTCAGTGCACCTCCAGTCACATCTATCCCCTGATTTACACGAGGCTTTAGGGGGGCAACTAGACACAAACCATTACCCTTACTCACCCATCCATCCATCCATCCATCCATCCATCCATCCATCCATCCCTTCATTTGGCAAACATGTAGCAAACTATAGCATCAGTGGGGGTGGGGACAATGAGGGACCCTACGGCTGTAGTCCCTGCTCTGAGATGCAGGAACCTCAGGACCACATCAGACACAGGAGCTAACTGTGAGTTTGACATCTGTCGTGGCACCATATCAGATCTTTTGACAAATTCTGAGCATGGTATTATTTCTCAGTCATCTCCTGCACTGAGATCCGAGTGTCAGTGACACTTCCAGGAAAAGATCCCTGCAGCATCCTCACAGGGCACAGGAGGGGAAACTCATCCTTAGTAGCTGATGAAACCTATCCACTCTCCTGCCATACGCCTGGTGTAGACGGCGGTAATTTTCAGCATCTTGCAGGTTAGCCTTTCCTTTCCTGGAGCGGGTCTGTGTCCCTCAGTTAAACATGCCTCAGAAAACATCTGTTCAACTCATATGAGATGATTGTATAAAAAACTGGGGGGAGGTTTCAGCTCACATCATTTGCCATCTTACTCAGCGCAGTCTTTACGGTGTGGCTTCACTGATGTGGCATAACGTGTCAGGGGGCCTCTGTGTGATGGGGTGTTTCTCTTAGTTATTGAAGGTATTGTACTGTTCCCACGAAGGGCTATTTTGCACGCATTGACAGGCCGAGGAACGCTTGGATGTTTCTCAGGTTTCTCAGAGCTGCCATAGACACAACAAGCAGGTGCTTGCGTGGACATGTTTGGCTTGCACTTCGGTGGATACGCAGGCAGAGGTTCTCTGATCAAATGGCAAATGCAGGCTTGCGTGCATACGAAACTTCCAGGCGCTTCTTCAACGCGGTTGTGCCACTTTGCATTCCCAGAGCACTGCATGCGCTCCATGGCTTGTCTCCTGTCCGCTCCGGCATTTGGCATGACTGGGATTTTTAAATTTTATCTTTGTGTTCTCAGCCATTCCAATAAGCACGTGCTGCGGGCCTGTAATATCTGACTTCGACCTGTAAGTGCCCCACGGCAAATGATGTTGAACATGTTTTTATCTTGTTATTGGTCATTCATTTTTTTTTCCTTTGGTGACACAGATGATCAAATACTTGCTTACTTTTGTAGGGACTGGGGTAAAATGCACAGGAGGGCTCGCCATTATAAGTGTTTTGCATGCACAGGCCACGGGCATGAGCTCCTGTCATGCTGTCGTGCAGCCATTGCCACCGTCCATCTCCAGAACTTCTTTCCTGTCCCCAGGAGGGGGCTCTGTGCCCAGGAAAGGGTCTCTATTGCACCTGCACCTGGCAACAACAATTCTACTTTCTTTGTCTAAAAATTTTGTATTTGCTGTGCTGGCCCCGCCCCCAGGGTGCCCTGAGATGGCAATTGCGACTGGGCGAGGTGGCACGCCCCTGTAATCCCAGCTCTCGGGAGGCTGTAAACAGGCGGATCACTACGAGTCTGATCTAGTAGTGGGACCCTGAACACCCTAAAAGACAAAAAACAAACAAACAAGCAAAATAAATGTATTTGGTTGTTGCAGGGTCTCACTACACAGCTCAGACTTGTGGTGATCTTCTTGCTTTCAGCCTCCCCAGCGCTGGGATTATAGGTATGCGCCACTAACCCCGGACTCTGTGGCTGGTTTAGTCCATCCTGGAGGTGAGGTTGGCACAGCATGTGGTGCCGGGGATTGAATCCCAGTCCCTGCGCTTGCCTAAGCCTGCCTAAGCAGGTGCTTTAGTCCACTGAGCTATCTCGCCGGCACCCTTTGTCTAAGAATTTGCCCACTATGGGGCTGGTGAGATGGCTCAGTGGTCTAAGGCACCTATTTAGAACCAGCTTAGCAAAGCACAGGGACCGCGGTTCAATCCCCCAGCACCACATGCCAGCCAGCCCCACCCCCTGGTGGGCTGAGCTGGCCACACACACACACACACACACACACACACACATAAATAAATAAATAAATAAAATTTAAAAAAGAAAAGAATTTGCCCACTGTAAGAACCTCCTATGAAGGGGCTCATTCAGCTAGCTCTGTCTTTGTAATGGCCTTATTGCGCCCGTTCCAGGCCCCTGTTTGATGCCACAGTGTTGAAGAATGTCACATTTTGCCTGTGCATCTACTGACGGGCACTTCGATCCCTCCCCGCTTTAAACTATCGTGGATAGTGCTGCTGTGACCACGGATGCATAGAAACTGCCTGGAGGCCCTGTTTGCAATTCTCTGAGGTCTCTGTGGGAAACAGAACTGCTTGATCATGTGACCATTCTATTTGTAATTCATTGAGGAACCACTGTCCCGTTCCCATAGCAGTCGTACAGTTTGACATTCTCAGCAATCATGTTGAGAGTTCCAGTTCCTTCTCATCTTCCTCAAGATTTTTAATTTATCATTTAAAAACTACAACATTTGAGGACCAAATGCAGCTTGTCTAACAACACTGGAACAACCATCTCTGACAAAACAAAAACAGGGGATAGAAATAAAGGATCATTTTGTAATGAAACAATATATATGCATATACAAAAAAGTTAGGATAGATATACAGCTACCTTCCATTTGTTCAATGAGAAGAAATTTTTGTTGTAATATTGTTTAGACAAGATAGCATGTCTGCATCTTGCCCTCTGAATAACCACTATGAACAACAATATGCAATGTATTAATCATTGAAATTCTCCTACTAACTTGCTTCTAAACTGTTTCATTGATATTTTATTTTCTCATTAAAGTGAATAAAAAAATTTTAAAAAGAAAAAAATACAACATTTCTATTGGAGATAGAGTGGAATACCATATTTTATACAACATAGATAGATATAAGATAGATAAATAATTTTTACTAAAATACTCATTTTTATTGCATGTATTTCAGATGTGCAACATGATTTTAGGGATCTATTATGCAGTTCTCTAATAAGGATTGATACTGACCATTTTGTCATAGCCTAATGATCGTTTTTATATCCTTATACAAATGTCTATGTGCTTTGTCCTTTTTTGCACTTTATTATGACCTTTTGCAACTTATTTTTAATTAAGTTTACTGGTACAGCTTAGATATACGTAGTGATCATGTGCGTCATAAGGAACTTGTAATTGTGCATGATATATCCTGATTCCTTTTTCCCCAGTCTCCCCTCCCTTCCTTTCAACTCCTCATCCCCTCCTTATTTACAAAGCTTTGTTTCTGTTTTATCCTTTTCCCTTCCTTCTTCCCCCCCCACCCTTGGTCCTCTTTCCATCTAAATAATTTCTTCCTATTCCACAGTATCAGTTATATATTTTGGTCCTTATTTGTTCTTTCAGTTTCTCACTTCAGGGAGATAGTGCAGTATTTACACATGCGTGTGTGTGTGAGTTATTTCAATGAAGAGTATGGTCTCACAGTGCATGTGTTACCTAGAAAGGTCTCAGGTTTGTCCTTCTTTATGGCTGAGTAGTACTCTGTTACCTACAAAAATGCCACATTTTCTTATCCATTCCTTGGTTGATGGGCATTTGGGTTGTTTCCAAGATTTAGACTTGTGCTGCTGTAATCATGGGTGTCCATTAAAGATTGTGCTGCTATAAACATGGGTGTGCATATGTCACTATGGTATGATGTTTTAAATTTTCCTAGGAAGATACTGGGAAGGGGATAGCTGGGTCAAATGGGATCTTTAATCCTTTGTCTTGGTACTGGGAATTGAACTCAAGACTTTGTGCTTGCCAGGCAGGCGCTGTGTCACTGAGCTATAGTCAGCCCTAATCTTAGATCTCCACACTGATTTCCACAGCACTTGTACTAGTCTATACCCTTACTGACAGTTGAGAAGGGTTTCTTTTTGCTTACAGCCCCTCAATCAAGTTTTTATTGGTTGATTTTTTTTTTTTTTTTGGTTGATTTCTTGATAATAGTCTTTCTTTCTGGAGTGAGATGGAATTTCAGTGTCATTTAAAAGCCTTCCAGGAGGGCTGGCGAGATAGCTCAGCAGACGAAAGTGCCTGCTTAGGCAAGCACAGGGACCACATTGTGACCCCCAGCACCACATACTGCACCAGCCCCACCCCCATGTCACACTGAGCCGGCCACAGTCTGGGTGTAGTGGTGCACACCTGTAACCCCTTTACTGGGGAGGCTGAAAGCAGGAGGATCACAAATCCAAGCTGCATAGTGAGATCCTGCAACAGTCAAATACATTTAAAAACGAACCTTCTAGGAGTAAGCCTGGTTCCAGTGAGCCCATCCCTTGCTTTTATCTTACTGTAAATTTGTACTTTATTATTGTGGCAGCCAGTTGTGCTTTGTCTTAATACCTTTCCTCGAAGGATGCAGGAAGCAGGCTCTGTGCTTACTCACTGGCATGGCCAACGGCAAGGAGTGTGTACATGTGCGACAGTGTCAAAGTGGGATTTGGACCCACCTTTATGCTCACTCTAGCTGGTTTCCATGTCTTTACCTGAGTATCACAGAGGGCCCAATAGATCCACAGCACGTCTGGATTTGCTTAAAAATGTTTTCTTTCAATCTTTCTGGTAGAAGTAGCCCAACTCAGTACAATGGCACATGAAAAACCAGATTTTCAAGTTCTGGAGCAGGTCAAAAGCGAATCCTGAGAGCACTCACGTTTGGGTGATGAAGGTGATCTATAGAAGCAATATACCTGCTTTCATAACAGGAGGGTGGGGTGGCTGGGTGGGTGGTGATGGTGATGACTTTGACACGGCCACGTGGGTCGTCAGAGTTCCTGTGACAGTGAAACGGGGCAAGAGTTGTTTGGTACAGGCAAGAACTGCAGCCCTCCTTGATTCAGAGGAGGAAAACAGCAATGTGAGTACACGTCTAACTGGTCAAAATGTTGTGAATTGGCCATGAAACCCAGTGGGATGATCCAGTGTTAGAACTGGGTCCAAAAATACAGTGCAGTTTCTTGTCAGGAGTGAAACGTTTTGGATGGAATGCCAGCACTGCCGTTCAGTGTTGGAAACTGACACAATACTACAAGACGCTGTGAGATGCACAAAGGCGGAGGTGCAAGGAAAACCTGTGAGCACCAGCAGTCCCATTTTCAAATGTACTTTTCCTGACCATTCACTAGCTATAATGAAAGAATTCATGGGTCTGCTGTACCTAGCATGGATTTCTCATGGTGATTGCAGAAATGTAAAAGACTTATGGGAAAACAATGGGTCAAAATACCATATGAAATTTTATAACCTTGTAGATGGGAAGAAGTATTATTCATTGGACTTAGACATTCATCCTGAAGTTCACCCACCTGCTTCTTATTTTTACAGTAATATGTGAAGTGATGTCATGAACGGACTTGTTGCTCCTGAACCAGAATGTGACAACAGATCATTGGTTTACTGGTTTCCAATTGATGTTACATTTTCTTTTCTAAAA